AAAAGGAAACACACACACACAAATCTTTTTGTACACTGTGAAGATTTATTTTTGCCAAAGCACTTTCTGATTGACTTTATAAAGAGTTGAATGGCCAATAGCTAGGCAGGAAGACATTCGGCAGGATTTCCAGGCAGAGAGAAAAGAAGAGGAGCTGAATCTAGGTGTGGGAGGGATGGCAGAGGAAACAGAGAGGAAGCAGGACATACAGGAGGAGAGGTAACAGCCACAGGTTACGTGACAACTAATAGATTAATAGAAATGGGTTAATTTAAGTTATAAGAGCTAGTTAGAAACAAGCTTAAGCTAAGGTCACACTTTCATAATTAATAAGAAGTCTCCATGTCATGATTTGGGGGCTGGTGGTATAGGAAAGATTAACTACATATGGCATCCAACATGGAGACTTGAATATCCAAACACAGGACTCAAGAAAGCCAAGAAAAGTTCCGATTTAGGAACCAGATATAGCTTTCTAGTTCTGTGGTCTCCAGTGTCATGCCCCAGAGCCACACGGGGGCTGACGTGGCAGTTTAAGACTTGTCTCATGTGGTCAGAGAACACTGCAGGAGCTCAGTAAATATGGATACAGAGAGAAAAAATTCTAAACAGTTTATAGTTTAAAATATGTACATAGGCTTAAAAAGAAAAGAAAATGGGTATAAACAGTCATAAGAAATAGTTTATAAATAATAAAATAAATTTTTTAAAGAGAAAATAAAATAATATAAGAAGGATAAGCCATATAAAGATGGAAAATACACAGAGTCTGGATCCTGTATGGTGTCTTGTTGACTTTGAAATTTTTGATTGCTGATGAGCGAATGACATGAGAGATTTGGGATTGTAAGAGCAACTGCTGAAGTAAATCAGCCTAGACACTTTAGGTATGCTTTGACTTTAAAATAGAATTCAGAAAATGTATTGCTTTGGGGAAGAGGTTATACTTTTGCTTCCACAAAAAAACAAAAGGCTGTGGATTCCCTCAAGGTTGATAGAGATCAGGACTGATCAGGGGAGACCACCTAAAAATCTTGGCTACAGACTTAAAAAAAAATAAACCTAGAAAAACTACATGACATGTACTTTATCTGCTAAAACATTTAACAAAAAATCATGTTTAGTTGGCTTGTGTACAACTCACAGGTCCATGCTTGTGTTAATGTGGATATATATGTTACCTTTGAAAGTTTGTTTTCAGAACAAGGGGACCAGATGCCAATGAAAATGGGTGGCCCAAGTTATCCAGCCTCTCAGAATCCCTCTGTTGAAGTTTCTTCAAAATTCTGCATACAGAACAGCTTCATGGCTGCTGACTGAGATGGTCCAACCTCACACACTACTCTTGCCAGAACTATAGATAAACCTTGTGCTTTCCCATTGAACAGAGACTGGACAATAAGTGTTACAGCTAGTTTCTCCAAGGCTTGACCATTATCTCAATTTTCTCAGGCTCCCCAAAGATGCCATTGCCCACAGACAACAAGAAGGTCTAGAGAACACAACGCCCACATTTCCAAGAGGTTGGATGGTTGATGTTTGTTCATTCAATGGGTTATGGGCATTTGGTATGGGGGTAGTTACAAATCATTACTGGTCATGATCAGGAAGAAAGTTAAACAAAGCAGATTAGATTCAGGGATATCTTTCTGAAGGGAAAAGGGGTATATAGTATAAAAATGATGGGATAAATGGGTGGATTGTTGAGTTTACTTTTGAACAGCTATTAGTCTCAAGTTTTTTACATTTGTATGGATTTTTGTATATTGATACAAATTTAAGGTTTTGTTTTACTGTAGATATGTTTCTATTCTTGTTTAAGGTATTATACCTATACATCTCATTTAAAAATGTAAAGTTTTCGTCCTTGAACGCTATTTAGGATAATAAAGAAAGACAGGTTAGTAGTTATTCTATAACAATCACACTTGTAGACAGGTTAGGTATGTTTTCAAGACCATACAGAGATTTATTTTAAATAGATATATGGTCTTCAAATACTTCAGAGATCTACAGAATATGGTATTTAAAATGTTTTAATAATGTAAGGCTTTTCATGACAGTGAGACATGTCTGGACCAATATACTTCAAAAAAGGATGATGGGCATCAAAGAAACTTTATATGGAGTTTGCTTTTTTTTCTGGCAAAGCTAGCCATTTGGACAAGAAATTGCCCATGTCTCAATCACTGACAGTATGCTATACAACCTGGACAAGTAGGGCATGGACACACACAGAAAAAGAGAGAGAGAGAGAGAGAGAGAGAGAGAGAGAGAGAGAGAGAGAGAGAGAAACAACTGCCAAACTTTTCCAAGGCAGGGTAGGAGAGTCCTTCAAAAAATCTCTGCTCCACAGAAAAGTCTGCTGGATATTCGAGGCCTTTAGGCTGGAGATGGATGCCCCAACAATGTAGAAGAACCTTGGGTGACTGTCCAGGCAGCCAGACATCTCTGCCATTTCTAAAGTTTTGAAAGTTGTTTGCTCTGCACTGCCTGTTTTCTCCGGTGATATTATGTCCTTCTCAGATCTCTGATGGAGTTGAAGACCATAGGTTGTAGTTACGGTCTTCCTTGTTACCAGAATCAGAAAAGAAAGTGGCTGAACCATGTGGAGGACCCAGTACAGTCGCTGCAGGTGTACCATGTCTGGCAGGTGTTCCTGGACTGTATAAGAAACCAGGCTGAACAAGCCATGAGGAGCAAGCTAGTAAACAATGTTCCTCTATGGCCTCTGCTTTAGTTCCTGCCTTGATTTCCCTCAATGATAGACTAAAAATTGTAAAGTGAAATAAATCCTTTCCTCCCAGGCTGCTTTTAGTCACAGTGTTTTAAGCACAGCCTTGGAAACCCAGTTTTAAGCATTTATGAGCTGTCTAGTGGGATCCGAACTCAAGTTCTCATGATTGAGCACCAAGAGCTCTTAACCACAGAGCTACCTATCCAGCCCCTGTGTTTTTTGTCTTTGTTATGAGGCAGGGTCTCACATACATAGCACAGGCTATCTTAGAACTCTCCATGTAGTGGAGGATGTCTCACATAGCACAGGCTAACTTAGAACTCCCCATGTAGTGGTGGATGATGTCTCACATAGCACAGGCTAGCTTAGAACTCTCCATGTAGTGAAGGATGATCTTGAACTCTGATTCTCCTGCTCTCCCTTCCCAAATACTGGGATTATAAATGTGTGCAACCATAGCTGGTTTATGTGGTCCTGGGGTCCACACCAAAGGTCTCGTACATTCTGTGTTAGCACACTATCTACTTAGTTATATTCCCAGGTTTTATTTATATTTATTTGCTTGCTTACTTAAGATCTTATCTCAGTATATAGCCCAGGCTGGCCTCAGGCTTGACTCAGGCTTAATCCTCCAAAGTGCTGAGATTATGAGCATGTGTACTCCTCCTCCTTCCTCCCCTTTCTCTGAGCTTTAACTCAGCACTTCACACATACTAAGGACTTACTCATGCACTGAGCTACAGTGTTACTTATTTCTGAGTGCTCTTTACATATGAATAGAAGGACTGAATGAACTGTATTCAACACCTCATTCCTT